GGGCCCGTAGAGCCCGTAGAGCCCGTAGGGCCCGTAGGGCCCGTAGAGCGCGCAGGGCCCGTAAAGGCCCGCAGAGGGCCCGTAGAGGCCCGCAGAGGGCCCGGGCCGGATATGGTACTCTTCTCGGTTGAGGGGAAGACTAGCAGCCGCTTAGCCTACATCAGATGGTCATAGTTCGGCAACAAATGGATGCTTGTCTAATCTCAAACGATGGGAATATTCACCATTACTTAGTATAATTCGATATTGTATTCAATGATAAACATGCTATATCAAACTATCTAATAAAACGATATAATCAGTACATGTATATATACATATAGAGTGCAGAATACATTGTCATGCAAGATCATAGAACTTAACATAAGATAATACAGCAGAACATAACATATCACAACATCATGAAGTATAATACCATTTCGTACAACAGTCTGCAGTGTAAGAAAGCAAAATATAGCATAATACCATATGAACTAGTATACTGAAATATAATATACAGTCAAGTGTTCAATGTAATAATTTGCATGTAACACAATATATAACGTTATACCATATGACATATATACATATAGTATGTAATATAATGTGGTATATGGTATAATATAAAACAGTATATATGATCTTACGATATATAGTAAATACTACCATATATAATAGAGTAAATGATATATAATGTCCAATACAACATAATACATGGTATGAACAGACAATATAACATATATGAAGTTATAGTCTGTGTATATACATATATATATATATATATTGCCATCTGTAGTATCTAATACAACATATAAGTTAAGAGATAATACAACATATAATGCGGTGGAACATATAATAACAGTGTATAATGATGTAGAGTACAATGTAACATGATAAAGAGCAAAAATTGCACTATAGTATGTGTATATATATGTACATCATACCATGGTATGATAATGTACGATATGATATCATATAACATTATATGCTAGGCGAAAAGTACATGATTACATAAATTGATCAATAAACGAATACACGTATTAAAGTCTTTGTAATATGCTATATAAAACTTAAAGCATGTGGCACATAATGTATGACTGATACATAGCATACGGTCTATGATATAGAACATAGTACCTAATATGCAATATGTAGATATACAATACATAATAGTATAATCTGCAATGAAAAATAGAACATAATAGACTATGTTGTATAATGAAACATGTAGTATACTAAAACCTACTATAACATAATGTAACATAGTTTGATACAATTTATTAGTCTAATTTAACTCATTTAGGAAAATTTAATGTGATTTACTAAACTTTACTGTAATCTAGTCTCATACAATATGAAGATATACAACACAATAGAACTCAATGTAATATAACATTACAATAACATCATATAATATATTAGAGTAGTTGCAGGAGCAAGAGCACGAGGCTGGAGCGCAGGAGCAGCAACAGCACGTACTACTGCTGTAGAAATGTCTCATATTTTACGACAATCTGTAATATATTTTTGGTACTATGTACTATACTCTGTGTCAAATAAAAATATATATTATTGCTCCCTACCGTCGCTGCCATGCCACGGTAGGCGACGGTGGCCACGACCACAGCTCCTGAAACAGCCAAAGTCGGCAGTACCGCGAACTGCTCGGGGCCACAAGCAAGCGACATGGCTCAGGAGTCAGGTCGCTCTGTGAATGAAGGCCCCAGAACAGAGGGGTGCATTGGTGCAGGGACTCAGCTGTATCGATGCCTGCTGGCCCACATTACCTACACTTCTTGCCAGGGTGTGTCCATCGGTGTCAACGGAGCTACAGCCACAGCTCGTCTGCGTTGAGCAACGGGGCAGAGGCGTGAATTGAGGCTGTGAGAATTTCTTGTTCCCTGATATTTACTATTCTATACTATCTACTACACTATATATTATATAAAATCTTCGAATGTTCTTATATCTCCTATGGCAGATTCAGGCAAGTCTCAAGGGGACTGCGGGGCTTGTGTATTTGTACTTGCCGGCTTTTGGGGGCTTTTGTCAGCGAGCTGCAGATTCAGAATTTTAGTGTGTGGACTGCACATGGCTCCAAAATTTAGGGCTTTGGCCTATGATTGTAACTGCCCCCTTTGTGAAACGAATACTTTGTGGGGGTTGGGTGGCTACGGCAAGTGTCGGAGTCTTTGCAAGAACCGTCGGCCTTTGCCAGAGAACCAGTTTTTTTTTTGCAGCCAGGGAATCTACCACGACAGTCCCAGCCAAGGTCACCCAGGCGACACGAGTTGGCTGTCACCCCTCACAGGATCGAGAGACCGGCCCGGCTAGGAAACTTGATGGCTCGGTTATTGACAGTTGCACAGGCATGGTACTGAGGTTTCTCGGCTGCTTTGGACTTTGACTAGCAGGTCTCTGCATCAACGCCTGAATCCACAGAAAAAAATATGTCCAGATGCCTTTGGCATTCGTCGGGTGAAAAACCTCAAGGCTCCATGCCGAGAAGTCTGGCACGACGTACTTGTCTTTGAGTAGGCCATGTCCTTCGTAAATTGACGTAGGATGCATGCGCAAGCCCAGAGCACACGCGAGAGCTTCCCTCTCCCCTCTCCAGCTTCGTGTGCCCTGGACAAAGAATCTCAGGTTTAATCAGCCCCAGGGAGCTCCTCCCCCTTGAAGCAGGCAAGTGCAGTGAGACAGGGCCGAAAGCGACTGGCTGGCCAAATCTGATGTGGACATCTGAAAAGTGGTGGCAGGGGAGAGATGAGTGTTCCAAAACTGAAGGCCACTAGACACGCGGTTAACAGCCGCCCTCCAGCACTCTGCATTTCGATTCCAAGCGTGTCTGCAGACCCTGTTAACAAGCCAGTCGAAAGCCAGCTGCTTGGCTAAATGCAGTCATCTTGCTGCCGCATACTAAATGGACCTCAGCACCAGGGAACAACTCTCGCGTGCAGCCGACCTAACGTGAGAGTGCTGTTACCCGTCCGGAGTGCAGTGCCAGCATTGAGTATTATCGGGAAGCAGTGAAAAGTCGGCACAGAACCTGAACTTGCAGACAGGCAGCCAAGACTCCTGCAGCACTAGTGACCCCACATCACTTGATCTTTCTGAGCCTTGGTTTTGTCAGTGACTGCTGAACCGTCTGGCAGGGTCTGCACTTGTGGAAATTATGCCTGCGCGCTTCAGCTCCATCTCTCAACATCTGCAGCTTCCCTACCGTATGCGTCCCAGCCCCGACATTCACCAGCTTGCGCCCAGGAGCCTTGCTTTCAGCACGGCCTGCAGCCTGGGGAAGCATCCGATGGGCTAAAGCCCAGCCCGAACACTTTTGTTCCGAAGGTTCCTTATTATAGGGGCCTTAGTATGACGGTTTAAGGAATATTCCTTAATATGTTAGGGGCCTTTTAAATGGGTATCCGTACTTGCTTGAGAAAATTGGGTCAGTACCAGGCTTCCAGCAGTTGCTCCTCCGTCATAGAGGTTCCCTTTGATGCCGAGCTTCACCCCCTAAACCCAGCAAACCCAGCAAACCCAGGCAAGGGGCTGCTCGAGGTGCCAATTCGCGTTCAGAAGCCAGCTGCGCTGTGCCTGACCCCCGCTAAAAGAGGGCTGCACCCTAAGCGGCACTGAAGCCTACAAGGCCTTCTACCCTCTCCGAGCCCTTGAGTCATCTGACTCTGGGCCCGTCTAGGCATTTCGCAAGAACATAGAAGTGTTCATGAGTCCTACGCAACCTCTCCGAAGTCGCTGCATGGTTTTTGAGCTTTGCAGAGAGTTCAGAGGTCACAGAAATGTCGCTTTGCAGCGCCCGGCTTAGGAAGGCCTTGAGCATGGCATCGACTTCACGCAACCATACGGGTTTCCACTCATCTTCAACCTTGCAGCTAAGGAGTCTACGAGCGTGGGATCTCACCGACGTGCACAAAAGGCCGCACAACTTCAGATGGCACCCTACAAGGCCCTTGGCCCTAGACTCCAGACGCTGACGTCGCTAACGCGTAACGGCCCTGCTAGAGCTTCTCTGGCCTGGTCTACTTGGATACTCCGAGATTTCTCCGCTCACGCCACTGCGATACGTCCTCTAATCACAAAGTCTGCTGCTCCATCAGCTCTCGTCTTCAGAGGAACCGGTTTTCCAGCTGCATCTTCTTCTTGGCCCTCACCCTGCGGGGCTTCGGTGGGCTCCTCGACGACCGGCGACGGCCTCAGCACAATCGCTCATCCAAGTGCCAAGGCTCAAAATCCAGAATTTCAAGCAGGAACAGGTAGTGACATAATCCCTTCCCACTTGTTTTACACAACCCCAAAATCATAAAAACCCCTTTGCGGGAAATCCTCATCATCCCCGCAGTTTAAACCCATGTTGAAATGGAGGGGTTCAGGAGCAACAGCCAGAGCAAGATCCGGAGAAAGAGCAAGAGCAAGAGCCAGAGAAGGAGCACTACTAGGAGCAAGAGCCAGAGCAAGCAAGTTCAGGAGCAAGAGCCAGCCAGAGCAAGAGCCGGAGCCAGAGCCGCAGAGCAGGAGCCGGAGCCAGAGCAGGAGCAGTACTAGGGGCAAGAGCAAGAGCAAGCAAGAGCACAGTACTAGAGCCAGAGCAAGAGCAAAAGCGAGAGCTGGAGCAAGATCAGGAGCAAGAGCAAAGGGTGGGAGCAAAAGCAAGAGCAGGAGCAGAGCAAGAGCAAGAACCAGGGGAAGAGCAGGAGCAAAGGGCGGGAGCAGGAGCAAGATTCCCAACAAGTGACAGCACTGATAAACATCCCTCGTACCGCCGCGAATAGTAGAAGCACATTTCGATGTTTCATTGGGGGAGGGGATCGACACACACCCACATGCATATGCGTTTGATTGCACATACTACATAGACGTATGCACGTAGCCGTGATCGCGTGGCATAGGTACCCTCAACCCTAAACCCTATACCCTAAACTCTAAAACCCTAAACCCTAAACCCAGGTATTAGATCAAAAAGTGGAAGAACTTGACATCTTGGGTGACCTCGGGTCCTCATGAGCCCCCATCTGAGGACACCCGAGTAGGATTTAGAACTTAGGGTGTAGGGTAGAAGAGACAACTCGACTGCTCCCAGGCCACTCGAGACCGAATTCGTCCTCGAACTCCGGGACCTCCTCCTGGGTCTTGTAAGATGCGTGTAGGCTTCTAGGTCCATGCCGCCCCGGTCCGAGGGCAAAGTCAAGGCTTGAGGCTTGCAAAATCGCCCAGCCCAAAAGGAACATCCCAGCAAACCCTGATTTCGACTTTCCCGGTCCTCCACGATGGTAGGATCGAAGATCCTGGCTTTGCTGGCATGGAAGCTTCTAGCTCGGCGGGAAAGGGAAAGAGAAGCATGCGGCATACTCATACGAGTTGTTGCTCTCACATCGGTTTGGGTATGGTTTTCGACGTGTTGACCGCAGGAGCCAAAAGAACCTGACAGCCCTACTAATACTAATACTCATACTGTCCAATACTAATGCTAGTACTGCTAATACTAGCAGCAAAGGATTAGTAATACTCTTAAAGACCCTAAACCCTAAACCCTAAAGGTTGCACAGAAGTAGCCATGCTTTTCACTAGCGAAAGGTCCCGGCCTAGGTGGCCTGTTCCCCTTGTGCTGGACAGGGAAAGCAGAGCCGCCGTCGCCTTGTTTGGGGGTTTAGGGGTTTTAGGGTTTGAGGGTTTAGGGTTTAGGGTTTGAGGGTTTAGGGGTTAAGGCCAGGGTTTTAGGGTTTAGGGTACTGTCACTTGCCGATACTGTCGGCAGTGAACCGTCTCACACACACTGAACATGTCGCTGCGGTTGCAGAAGAGAGCAGGCATCAGCATAAATGACCCTTCAACCCGCATCCCCGAAGGATAAGCCCTTCGTTGCACCTCAATCGGCCCCGGCAAGAGAAGTTCACCACTCCACTAAACTTTTCATCAAGCCCGAAGCATTCGGCGATGGTGGCCGAGATGCTTGAAACTGGCTTGCCGACGACCCAACTCTGCCTTCGTTGTGGGGCTTGGATGCTCTTGGGACCTGCGATCCTGATTTTCAAGTTCGGTAAGAGAAAGAGCCAGGAGAACCAGAAAAACACCACCGGCAAGACGACACCGGGGTATCCTTGATTCCACTGCTGAATCCCGCTAAAAGTGCACCATAGTGCACAGGATGGACGTGTCGGAGCACCTTCATGCACAACGCACCCACCGAGAGTGAGCGATCCTCCTGGGTCCTAGCGGTACTGCAGCCGAGGTTGCAGTGAGTCCTTGGACTCCTCTTCCATGATCGTCTTCAGGGAGTTGTTCACTCCCCCTACAGACTGCATCAGGGAGCCGGCCATCTTCACCAGCTTCCTCGGCCGCCATGGGGATCTCGCTCCGCTATGAGTTCGAGCTGTTTGGGATCGAGCTGTTTGGGATGCTGTCTCGTTGTTTTGTGTGGGCGTTGGGTAAAACTTCCCAGGCTTTCGGATGCACGGAACACTCGAAATCAAAACCGCCTGGGCATGCTGGCGAAGCACACCTACATCTTCACTTCCCACCTTCCGCGGATCTTACCGTATACACACCAGTCAGGTTCGAGAAAGGGTACAAATGATGCCGCAAGTCTTAAGTATAGTAGAGATATGTAGAGATGGACATCACAACAGCTGCGGCTGCAGAACACGGCCGCCCCGCGGCCCAAGGCATTATTCCCACATCATGTGCGATAAAGCTGGTGCTTGCGATTTGAATTCCTGAAGTTGGGAAGAGGCTGCGCTTCCTTCCATCGGGAATGGTAGCTTTGCAGCATATGTCTTGACGATCAAACACCACGATCCCTCGCACGGAGCACAGGTTTTAGAATCCCTGTTCTGCCTGAGGGCGAACTGGACCAGAGTTGACAGTGCATACATTCCACGTTCGGGTGGATATATGTTCCAAAGCACTGTTGAGAATCCTCCGGTAGTGTATATCCCACAGTGGGGTGCAGTTTCAATGAGCTGTTGATGAAGATGTCAAACCTGAAGCTCCTACTTCGACAGCGAAGATGGATTGGTCACCACGAACGCCCGGCCATGACATGAATCACTGTGATCGTCACTCCGATTTGCACCGACGATTGGCCACAACAAATCCAAAAAAGAGGCCAAGTTCGTCATTCCGATCAGGTTGACAGATGAGCTTAAGTCGATGTGTGTAATACCTGAGGTCGGTTAGCCTTCTGTTCGAAACTGTGCTAGTCGCTTTTTGCAGTCTGGCAAGGCCTTTTCATGAAGCACTGAAGACCCTGAAAGAGTGAAAAGCAAACGCAGTCCGGAAGCGGTACTTAAATCTTACAGCCCCCAACAGGCAAGCATCTCCGTGTTGATGTCTTTATCGGACTGGATCTCCATCTGCTTCGTCGTATCCGAGAAGAGCAAGCCGAGCTGGTATTCCGGCATGTTGGGAAACGACTCCTAGAGCAAACGTGCCCGATAGTCTGAAGGGTACTGGGCCTACACCGGGCTTAGGGCCTAGGGCTGGAAGCCGTCAAATCCGAAGACTCTGAAATCCCGTTCCTTCATGTAGTCCGCATCCAAGAGGTCGGGATGGAAGGGCTCGCTGCACTTCCTCGCTGTGCATTTAATCGGGGCCTTCGGACTCTTGAACTCGGAATGACATACGTCAGGTTTTGTTCATGCATATGTCATGCAAGTACGACTCTGACATCGCAAGCTAGCACGTACCGATCTCCTGTTGAATGTGTGGAGTGCACATGCAGATGTGCACAAATGGGCGGGTGATTGAGCTTGGGTCGATGGGTGAAACTGCCCAGTTGCAAAACGAGGAGGTCGTGGCTTTCTCGGGAAGGCCTAATCAAAATAGCACATTTTCACGGGCCACATTGGAGATGTCGGCGTGTGCATGCAAGTTCCATCCGCGGCAACTGCAAGCCGTCCTCACGATGGCCTGCTCGCTGACCCAACTCCTCCACTGCACGCACTTGCCCACTATGCAGAGAAGCTGCACCTGAACGTAATCTCACGACCCTGCCACTGGCTCTCGGTTTCGCCAAGCCCATGTCCTCAATGAGATGAGACGATTCCAGAACTGGTAGAGGGTGTTCCAGACCTCAGCCCAAAGGTTACAGGGATGGGAAGGCAAAAATCAAACTCTTCGAAAAGCTTCGACGACGTTCGAAAATTAAACCGAGAAAACAAGGTACACACTGTTCCTGTAAGTGGAGTCTTCACAGGGAGGATGCCCCCAGGTCCCGACCAGTTGCTGTCCGAGGGGGTCGAAGAGGGGTCAACTGACCCAAGGAAGGTTCGATGCTGTTTGCATGTGTGTGTGTGCATACATATATGTATATATATATA